CTGACGCCGTGCCCTGTGCCAGGGCACATATTCCCTGCAGCCCCCGTGAACTTGTGAAGCTCAAACGGAGGCTTCAGACCCTTTAGTTCACCAGTCTCATTTTGTAGAAGACGACACTGTGGTTCAGAAAAGTAACTGATTGCCTGAGTGCACCTGCGGGTTCTTGGCCCCTGACTCCATGCCCTCTATCCCTACCCTCCTGCAGCCTCCTGGCTCTCTTCCTTTCAGCCGGAGAACGCGTTCTGGGGCCCCCGTTTAGGCTACCTCCGTTTCAGAGTATTGACATAGCCAGCTTCTCTGAGGATTTCTTACGAGTTCCCAGGTTGCCTCTGGTTGTACTCTGGGGTATTGGAGCAAACCACCGTTCCTTCTCTTTTATGTAAACGGAACTGTTGATTAAATGATACCAGATTCTCCTCTCCCACACTTTTCTGGGTAATATCTGGCAAGTGGATCCCCCCAGTTTGCCTTAATAAGCATGTTATTTACTGTAGTGCCATTTGTGTGCAGTAAACAAATGAAGTAAGAATCTAATAACTCATTTAATTGTGGAAATCATGTAATTGGTACAGCAATGAAAGAACAGTTCATGACTCATAGATATTACCACACCTTAGGAGCCTTTAAAGATGAGTTTGATGCCAAGTGACTTCAGCCTGGAAAAGGCGATAGCCTCTTGTGACATGGCCTGAAGGCTTTCGTTGTGTTTATAAAATGGCCATCGTGTAATTAGACTTTGACAATGGTGTAACCAGCAGGTTCTAAGTATTCTCATTCTGACTTATACTATTTTAAATACATGGCCATGAGTTTTAAGTTTAATTTGAAAATAAATTGTTATAGATGTCATAAAACAAGAACCATCCTTTGTATATTATAAATATAAAATTGACTTTGTTCATCTACGTGTTGATTCTCAGAAATCACTGTCAGCAATATAGAAGAGGGTGATTTAAGGTCTCATGTTATTAAAATCGTTATTTTCAAACCACAAGATGCCTGCACAACAGGATAGTAACTAGACCTGCGCCATAGCCTTTGCTTGTTTTTCCAATTCCAGTTCGATTTTCGAAACACCCTGCTTGGGCCCCTCTGTCCTGTAACACATCTGTAAGAAGGCTGCCTGGAGCATGAGTCTATGACTGGGAATCAGAGCAAGGCAAATCGGCATGTCGGGACACAAACCTTAACCTCATTATCTTGTTCTAGCCAAACAAGAGTACTTTGTTTTTGAACTTGTCATTTTCTGCACTCTGAAATCAGGGATCTGGTTTTATACTTGTGTGTTGTCAGTGCTAAATAAATACTTAATGCTTGGTTGTTTGCAAAATAATTCAGAATAACGATTATCAATGTAGAATTTTGGTTGGACCCCTGGGAACTGCAGTTGTGGCACTACGATTTTCAGTGTTTCCTCGTTGTCTCCGTGGTTGGGGGTTAGCTGTTGCATCTACTGTCTCAGTCAGGTTGTTTATAGCCGTAGAAATTCAGGAGAAGACTAAAGAGAAGTGCTGAGTGCCGGAGAACCTCACCCATGGAGCCGTAGACTTTAGTTCTTAGAAGCCAGACTAGTCCCATTCTAAATTCCTTTGGAATATTCTTATTTTGAAGAGATTTGGAGGGCCTGGAGGCAGCAGCTAGCCGATACTCTGTGTTGAATTCATTTCTTGTCTCAGCTGTCCTCTGTCACTACCTGCATAGGGCGATTTATGAGTTGACCAGTGTATCCTTAATGCTTACTTATTCATTTACAAAGATCAGTAGTGTATATGTTTGCATTTGTTTTGTCAAAGGGCTGTTTATCTCCTCATATTAACTTACCCTCTGAATTGAATGATCCTGTGGAATTCTGAAGTGTAAGGTACACAGATTTGCAAGATACTCTGGGGGAAAAATTTTTTTCAAATTTATTTTATTCTTTTTAGGGAAATTTGTATAAGAATGATATTGCTAGATTCTATGAGTTGCTTATTCTCTGTTCATGATTTAGGCACTTTGAAAAGATACACCTTAAAGTAGAAACTATGACTTCTCCATATAAATAAACATTATGAAAGGCTTGTAGGTTTCACTCAAGGAATTTTCACTAAATATCAGCTGATGGTGAAAACATTCTATATGGACCTTCCCATAGGACAGCTCCTCCTCATGGGCCACACGCTGTATAAAGCCTGGTTGAGGTTTACAGTTCTCTTGGTGCGGTAACATACATTTAGACACTTGGTCAGACTTTTTTTTTCCATTGAAGCATAGTCAGTTTACAATGTTTTGCTGATTTCTGATGTACAGCATAGTGATTCAGTTATCCATATATATATATATATATATATTCCTTTTCATACTCTTTTTCATTATAGGCTATTGCAAGATAGTGAATATAGTTCCCTGTACTGTATAGTAGGACCTTGTTGTTTATCTGTTTTACATATAGCAGTTAGTATCTGCTAATCCCAAACTCTCAATTTTATCCTTCCATCCTCCCCTCCCCCCGTAACCATAAGCTTGTTTTCTATGTCTGTGAGTCTGTTTCTGTTTTGTAAATAAGTTCAATTGTGTTCTTTTTTTTAGATTCCACATATAAGTGATATCCTATAGTATTTT